AAGGTTATAAAACACTTAATCCTCCCTTACTCTGGGAAAGTGGTGAAAAGACTCAATATAAGAACACACTATCAAACATGTAAAAATCAGTAGGAAATGGTTTGACTCCCCAAATTGGCTCAAAACACGAAAACAACTCACATAAAAACAAAAGACACAAAGTACCGAACTAAGACAAATGTTAGAGTACTCGCAGTTACTGTAAGCTAGTTCAAAGCCAATGGTAACTAATAAATGAATCCTGTTTTTTCAAACGAAAGTATATACCAGTGCACATTTAGTGGATGCAGTGTAATAACGTCATAAGGAGTCTGAGAAAAGCATATACTAGTACTTTGCACATTGCCTAGCTATAAATACATAGTATAGATAAGATGTAAGACCATAATCTTTTATAACTGTATTGAAATCTACTTAGTAATGTTTTGATTTATCAAAAACAAAAATCAATGTTAATACCGATAAAACAATGATTAACGGATTACAACGGATTAAATGGCATGCTTTTACGTATACATTTGGTTTATTCACAGGATCAATGAGTTAACAAGGTTAGTATCTCAATGTACGGATTAAACAACATCACCGTAGAAATCATAACTTATTTTTGTTTGTATACTTTTGTCACAGATATGATTCCAGTGCATTTTTGTGATGTCTGGCAATGGAGTAGGATAAGAAATTTTATAAATATCTATTTGTTTTTCGTCAGTATTTTTATTGAAAATGTTGCGCAGTCCATCTGCAGTATTGGTTGCTTTCATGAATATGTAAGCCATTTCAAAGTTTTCAGGGGGAGCACGGTGGCCGAGTGGTCTAAGTAGTCCAACTACTGTATCACTTGACTGTGAACACTACGGTTTGTGAGTTCGAGTCCCGCACGTTGCGGAAGCGTTCGATTCCTATCTTAATTGACTAGGATTGTCAGTTTTCCTACCAAAGGTCGGTCCACCAACAAAAACTGACTGCCACGAAATAGCGCAATAGTGCTGAAAAAAGAGTGAAGCACCAATCAATCAATCATAGTTTTAAGTGTACATTTGTAAGAAGACTTTACTCTTGACATATTTTACCGAAGTTGCAGTCATGTTTATTCTAAATAATAAGGAAATTTGGTCTGATTGCCAATGAGACAACTAATTACCAGAGTTTAAATGAAGTAAATGTAATCAATTATACACATCACCATGATCATTGATTTTATTTTTTAATAATTACATTACATGTATGTTTCATTATAGTACGTTATTTTGATTGGGTAACAGCAATCTCGCGTCATTATGAAATTAACCTTCATTTCAAAATGAAATTAACCTTCATTTCAAAATGAAATGTAACATTCATGATGACATGAGCTTCCACAATAAAGTGCACAGGTAAATAAAAGTGTTTTCGTGATCCTAGCAAAAAAAATGTAGTTATAAGTATTTAAACCATTGTGGTGACGTCAGCCTATTCATTTACCGTGGATTCTTTTTCTAGAATCAACGCTTCCTAAATCTGCCGCTGAAATGGACTCACCAAATTATATTCAATTGTATCCTTTGTGTGTCTAATTTCATTAAGGTTGAATTGGCTAATTTACTGATTTCTGTTCACTAATGGAATTAATTTAAAAACTTACTTTTAATTTTTGTAATTTGTATATGCCTTCACTGGGAATCGAACCCTTCCTTGAAATCTGTTATGAATGACTGACATCAACATATCGACGAAACCTCTCGGCTACCAATGGGTTACAACTTAGATGTCTATTTTATATATATAAATGAACATCGGACACACAGGGGTTGTACCTTTATATATACACAATGGGCAGTCGTATAGTATAAGTTGGTAGCCGCGAGGTTAGCATGCTTAAAATCAACGAGTTAAAAGATAGGGATTTGTCGGTTTAGGTTCGAATCCCTGTATTATCTCTGTTGACCCAATTCTGTTTTTTTTTCTAATTTTGCATGTTATAGTGGATATTTTTGTAATACATGTAATAGCGTGTTTTACCGTTTATTTTTTGGATTATTATTGGCTATTTCACATGTTTGAAACAAAAATGATTACATTCTATTTGTCAATTTTTGTTGTATAAATATAGTTTGATTTCATCTGTTTTACTACATAATTTTACAAATATTTGTTCGCAAATTCCTATGCTAGAAAATCGTGGTGTGCCTAGAGTGCTAGAAATTTCGGTAACATACTTATTATATATACTTTATATATGCTCTTTGGTCGGGTTGTTGTCTCTTTGACACATTCCCCATTTCCATTCTCAATTTTATTAGAAATAAGTTCGAAAATGTCTTATTTTGTAAAAACAGATAATATTCAGATGCCTGATAATATAAAGATCTTTCAAGGTAGAAGTGTTATATTTGTATTTTGTTAACTAATTAATTGTGATCTGAGAAATATCAATGCATCGTTGGACACGATAACATGGTTATTTAAACTCACTTACAATACCATCTAATTAAGAAAAGGCTTTAATTTTGAAAAGAAATTAACACAATAGTTTAAGTTATAGATACAATGGATAAACGTAGATTCATGAAAAAACAAACCATTCGCCCTTCGGGCTCATGGTTTCTTTTTCAAGAATCCACGCTTATCCATTGTATCTATATAACTGAATGCTTCTTTTGGTAATTTTATAGGGTTTTAAAAGCGTTGACCGTGCGCACATTTTTAGAATAAAGCGCTTCATACAAAATGTACTTCGGTCAACGCTTTTACATCCCAAAAAATTTACAAAAAGAAGCATTCAATTCTTAATTGAAAGTGCAATACAATGAGAGTTCGCTACGATTACAGCGGTTGGTTGGCTTGCCATAACTAACTATCATTTTCTTTGTATGTGGATCACATTTTAAATATATTTCTAAAAAAAAAGAACTTTAGAATGACATCTTTCTATCCTTGGTTTTATGTTTTGTGTGATGGACAATACCTTCCACATTTAGTTTTTGTGTCTCAATGAAGAAAGACATATTGTTTCTGTCAAAAATGTTTTGCTGCTGTTGCTTAAAATTCTTATCGTTTGTATTTGACGTTTGATATTTTACATGTTTGTACAATACTAGAGTAGATATGTCACTTTCAAGTTAGTGAGTTCTTTTACCTTCAACTTACAAATCCACTAGAAAATCGCTTCGAATGCATACAAACCTGTTAAGTATTATATTATTGTTTAAGCACTGGGAAGATTCAGCTGCTGGTGCACAATTAGTTCCAGAGGCTAGGGTATCATCAGCCCACTAGTCAGTACTTAAGAAATTATTAAGAAAATAAGGTTCCTGCTCCATCAGGCAAAGTAAACCTTATATGGATTTCTGATTTAAGGTCCCTTGCGGTCATATAACTATTCACTTGTTTCGGTACTTATACGTTCATTAGCTTTCAAATATTTGGTTTTGAGCGTTCCTGATGAAAGTAAATACAGAAAAGCGCTTGGAACGCATACTATTTATACCGCTGCATTTGTTTGCACCTGTCCTAAGTCAGGATTCTGATGTTCAGTAGTTGTCGTTTGTTGATGCGGTTCATAAGTGTTTCTCGTTTCTCGTTTTTTATATAGCTTAGACCGTTGGTTTTCCCGTTTGAATGGTTTTACACTAGTAATTTTGGGGCCCTTTATAGCTTGCTGTTCGGTGTGAGCCAAGGCTCCATGTTGAAGACCGTACTTTGACCTATAATGAAATTGAGAATGGAAATGGGGAATGTGTCAAAGAGACAACAACCCGACCATAGAGCAGACAACAGCCGAAGGCCACCAATGGGTCTTCAATGCAGCGAGAAACTCCCGCACCCGGAGGCGCCCTTCAGCTGCCCCCTAAACAAATATGTATACTAGTTCAGTGATAATGGACGTCATATTAAACTCCAAATTATACACAGGAAACTAAAATTAAAAAATGATACAAGACTAACAAAGGCCAGATGCTCCTGACTTGGGACAGGCGCAAAAATGCGGCGGGGTTAAACATGTTTTTTGAGATCTCAGCCCTCCCCCTATACCTCTAGCCAATGTAGAAAAAATAAACGCACAACAGTACGCACAGTAAAACTCAATATAAGAGAAGTCTGAGTCCGATGTCAGAAGATACAATCTAGGCTGCATAAGATTAGTGCATTACATAATGAAATGTACCTCTCTACAAAGCTTGCGCAACCTGTATTCGTCGACAATTTCAAATGTTATAATGTGAAATCAATCAAGGCACTATTAAGTGGAATGAGTTAAATTTTCCGGAGCACCTGAGATCATCTCAAGTTTTTGATGGTATTGCGTTGATCTGTCTTTAGTTTTCATTGTGGTGTTTTGAGAACTTTTTGTCTTTGTGTCGTCGTTTCGTTTTTTACCATGGTGTTGTCAGTTTACCTTCGAGTTTTGAAAGCCCTTTGACATCTTCCATCTCTATTTCTTAACATATTGTTCAGAAAACTGTCTATCGTAAAATTATAATTTTATCCTAGAATATATTTATTGTTTGACGTTGAGTTGCTGTCTCTATTACATTTTCCATAATTCCATTGAAGCTAAGAGAACAAGCATGTACATGTAGGAAGTGCTACATGTATATAAAATAAGATGTGGTATGATTGCCAATGAGACAGCTCTCCAACAGATTCAAAATGAAGCGGGTTTAAGCAACTTTGGTACAGCGTACGAGCTTCAACAATAAGCAAAACCCGTACCGTAAAGTCGCTATAAAATACCCCGACAGGACAAAATGTGAAATAATTAAAACCAAAAAACCAACGCCCTTTTTTTTTCTCGTACGGAAATATTCCGTGAAACAAACATTCAGCACATGCTCCGAGAGTAGGCATTGTAGTAATGCACCAAATCAGTACTTGTTAGTGAGAGTCTATGAATAATGTTTTATGTTTGTGTCTTTCCTTTTTTTTTGTTATTGCTATAAAACACAAAACAACAATTTTGTCTTAGGAAAGGGTGTTTTGTGTAATCTACCTAGTAAGGCTTATGTTTCATTTTGCAGGTTCTGGTGACAGTGGAAGTGCATCATTAGTAGTTAATTTTTATCAGATGGCTTTATGCGTCTGTATAAGTATAGCATCATCCAAAAGAACACGTGTGATATCTTCTGGAGTATTGTCATAGATATTTCAAGAAAAAGACGACAAACAAACCTGAAAGAAACCTGAAAGAAACATTGAATTCTTATTTCTTTTTTTTTAATAAACGGGCTAGTTTAGTTAACATAAAACGAAAAAATATTTAAAGATATTTAAAAATCTATGTCTAGGTTAGTCTATGGAAAGGTATATACTATGATATTTAGAGCGAGGGGCTTGCCCCAAGCTCTTAATTTCATAGTATATACCTTTCCATAGACTATCCAATTTAGCACATATTTACAACTCGAGTAATCTTTTAATTGGTCTATTGATAGTTTATTTTGGCTGACTACTTGTATCACAGGTGTTTGTAAAACGGAGCTCATTAACGAATTTTGTAAATCTACTCACTAGTATCATTGTAAAATATGTGATTTCAAAAGGCCCTTCACTCCAGAATGAAAAGATGGTAGCTGCTGGTGTAAGTATGTATACTGATATAAAGCGGTGTTTTACTATACATGTTCTTCTTACATAATAAGTTGACCAAAAACAGGCAATAATTAAATTGCAGTGGAAGCTTTACATGTTTTGAAAACATTTTTTAATTTCACAGTAAAACTAAAGCTATAATAAGTTTGAAACATATAGATAGTTTGTCCCCAAAGATATAGTCTAGCAGATGGGCATTAAAAAGCAACTACAAATAGATCAGAGATTATAGGTTTTGTGTTTTTTTTTTTATTAGTTCAAAGTAAAAACTAAAAGATTTATCAGAATATGTTTATATATATATATATAGGTGGCACATTATCTTCAGACATAATCACAGTTTTTCAATTCATGACATCGTCCTGAACATGCATGAAATATTTGCCACTGGACATTAAGCAACCAATAATCAATAAATCAATCAATTCATGACGAAATAGATCACTTTCCTTAAGAAAGTGTAAAAAATTATCACCAAGTTGCTTTAATTTTCCTTTACAAGGTTTCATAGTACACACTTTTCTGTGTACAAAGTAATTGCATGGATGATACATTATCATAATTTTAAGATATCGTTGTACTCTAATCAAGGTATAAAGAACCATATGTATTACCCTTTATTTAAATGATAAAATTTGCAATTGTCAAAAACATTTTTTAGATCCAAAGGTTTTAATAGCAGGATATTTAAAATCAATGTGAAAACTAATTACAAACTATTTAATTTAATTTGGAACACAGCATTTTATTTCAAAATAGCCAGTGGCAATTTTTGTTTTAAATATCTTGATTACGATACAATGAAATCTTACCCTTGTGGTCATTCATGCGTAGTTACTTAGTACACAGGAAAAGTATGTACTATGAAAATTAGAAGGCAAATATAAGCAATTTGATTGGACGAGAAGTTGTAAGTATGTGCTAATTATTATTAACCGTGGTTTCTTTGTTAGGTATTAACGCGCTTAACATCAGTGTAGATAAAATAGTCAACAACATATGAACAGATGTTCTCTGCATTAAACGACGTTTTAATTAGCCAATTGATTTATTTCTAAAAATCTGCCCGGTTAAATTGACTGAACACTTTTAAGTTTGACTTTCATAAAGTACCGTCAATTTCGTTTTTTTTTTTTTTTTCAGAAAAAATAAATTCATCAGGACTAGCTAGTGTCTTTTTTTTACGTTCGTATACGGTGAGATTGTAACTGTAACGTTCAACAATTGAAACGTTTGCAATTATATTTGGCCAGTGCATGTGTGTGCGTGTATTTATTTTATGATAAACAACGTTTGATCCTAATGGAGATGGTCTTAGAACTATACTACTTTATGTGTATATGCTAATTAGAAGCATTTGGTTTTTTTTTTGCATTAATATAATGCATCTTATTTTATTTAAAACTTATATTTCTTAAATTATCATAATAATAGGTACATGTATAAAAATAAAAACAATGTACAAAATTAACAAACGGAAAAAGTACAAAGCAAAAAAAGTTCAGAAAAGCCGTTCATCACGAAAACGATTATAAATGACATTTGTGTAACATGGTACCGCAAATTTGCAGATGTAACTTTGTTGGGCCAAATTTGAGACGACGAAGTATATATTATATATATATATTAATAATTTGTGAAAATATATATCATGTATTCTTTTGTTGCAATTTTATGCCGTTTTGAAATTAAAGGTTATTTGTTTTAAAATAGAAAATGTAGGCCCTGAAGATTTAATAGAATTAGAGGACATATTTTACTACACGGATTTGCATCGCAATCAATTCTCCTATATTTCAATGTAACAACTCTTTAATACATATATTTTACATTCATATTGAACCATAAGATGGACTGAAGACAGTTCTTGTTTTTTTTTTTTCCGTTCCCTTAACGACATCACAAGATGTTTTCATGGGAATATATTTAGCAGAAAAATATTATTTCTTCAGTTGCAGTTTACGGAATGTAAGTCTTATTAGTTTATTACAACAAAAACGCATTACAAGCAAGAAAAGACTAAGTCTACCAAATCTATTTTGTAATATGAGTGAAAATAAAATGTTTTATGTCCTAAGACCATAAGAATACAAGGTATGCTGCTGTCCTTACTTGATGCATTTTAGAATATAGTTTAATATCGTAATATACTTTCAAAAAAATCACTTCAGATATGCCCTAAGACCTCCAAAGGTATTAAAAAATACAAGACCCTACTTTTATCTTTAAAGGTTGTCTCACCTATTTCGATACATACATCTTTACAAGTGCATTCTCCATGTTCTCTTTTAAAAAGGCGGGACATAAATCAATTTATTTTTCATTATATAAGTTCTGTTACATTTTACGATTGTATTGATACTTGAAAATTCATTTAAAAAAATGAAAACAACATGTTATAGATTTCATGCGTCCGAGACGCTTTTCTGGATTTACCTTCATCAGGAACGTTCAAAGCCATATATATTTAAAGCTAAGGATGTAAAAGAATCTAAACAGCTATGTAAAAAACTAAGACTAGAGTGTGTCTTATTGGTAAATTATGGATATAATTCCGAATTATTTCCCCTAAAACGAATTTGTAGTTTTGTGTATTTCAACCAGAACACTGTAACATATTTATTTCGTTATGCAAACGAGATTTACAGACAATTCGTTCCAATTCAGTTGAAAAAAAGTGTCGTAGTTTTCACCCCGCTCTACCAAACGATATAATTTCACTTACAACGAATTTGTGCTTGTGGTTATTTCTATAAAAGCACTGGAACAAACATATTTGTTCCATTTAGGAAATGAGACCAGCTAACATTTTCTCAACTAGACAGCAGCTTTACAGGGAAGTCTTTTGAGCTTAGTTAAAGGAAGATTAGTTTTCATTCCTCTAAAACAAAGTTCAAATGTTTTATCAAAATAATATCCCTGGACTTCCTTAGAATATTCTGGAAAAAGCCACTTCCATTGATATACACCTCATGTCGGCTTTAATTAGATAATAGATGTATACATGCTTTTTGTGAACATGTTTCTCGTTTTTTATATAGATTAGACCGTTGGTTTTCCCGTTTGAATGGTTTTACACTAGTAATTTTTGGGGCCCTTTATAGCTTGCTGTTCGGTGTGAGCCAAGGCTCCGTCTTGAAGACCATACTTTGACCTATAATGGTTTACTTTTATAGATTTTGACTTGGATGAAGGGTTGTCTCATTGGCACTCATACCACATCTTCTTATATCTATATATTAACATCCTGCAAAAAAAAAATCGATTGAATTCATTTTGACCATATAATATAGTATTTGGGGGTATTCGCAGCAGACAAACATGGAATATAGACAGTTACGTTAATTGGCTGGCTTAATTGTTGCTACCATATAATAGCATTATTCATTTCCCGGTAACTGCATAATTTCAAGAGAAGTAGATCAATAAAATTCTGAATTTCCAGAATATACATGAAATTCATGGATAGATCATTCGGATAAGGAGGAGTCGGCTTCACAGTTCCAACACTATGTCTTCAATTCTATGACTTTTGCAAATATAGAAATAAAAAGTTGTCCATGTTTTGAAAGTCGGGGTCAATTTCGTGCACACAATGACGATATGTTGTAGCATGATCTCTGTAGCATTTATCCTTTAGGATCCATACATGATAAATAAAAGAATAAGGGAGACGTAGTAGGATTGCCAATGAGACAGCTATCTAACAATGTTCAAATGACGAGGAATAAGGAACTACATGTCACCGTAAGGCCTTCAACAATGGGATATAAAAGGCACCGATATGATCAAATGTAACACAATTCAAACGCAAAAATCAACGGCCTGATCTATGACAAAACAAAAAACAAATATGACGAACAGCAACCAACGACAACCTCTGAATAAACGGTTCCTGACTTGGAACAGGCCGACAATGACTGTGGTAGGGTTAAAAAGGTTATAAAACACTTAATCCTCCCTTACTCTGGGAAAGTGGTGAAAAGACTCAATATAAGAACACACTATCAAACATGTAAAAATCAGTAGGAAATGGTTTGACTCCCCAAATTGGCTCAAAACACGAAAACAACTCACATAAAAACAAAAGACACAAAGTACCGAACTAAGACAAATGTTAGAGTACTCGCAGTTACTGTAAGCTAGTTCAAAGCCAATGGTAACTAATAAATGAATCCTGTTTTTTCAAACGAAAGTATATACCAGTGCACATTTAGTGGATGCAGTGTAATAACGTCATAAGGAGTCTGAGAAAAGCATATACTAGTACTTTGCACATTGCCTAGCTATAAATACATAGTATAGATAAGATGTAAGACCATAATCTTTTATAACTGTATTGAAATCTACTTAGTAATGTTTTGATTTATCAAAAACAAAAATCAATGTTAATACCGATAAAACAATGATTAACGGATTACAACGGATTAAATGGCATGCTTTTACGTATACATTTGGTTTATTCACAGGATCAATGAGTTAACAAGGTTAGTATCTCAATGTACGGATTAAACAACATCACCGTAGAAATCATAACTTATTTTTGTTTGTATACTTTTGTCACAGATATGATTCCAGTGCATTTTTGTGATGTCTGGCAATGGAGTAGGATAAGAAATTTTATAA